CATTAAGTGCCTGAGATAACAACTAACTACACACAACTCAATTGATTATTTTAAGTAAAACATCATCTAATGTGGTAAGGAAGACTTACTTAACTGATTAAATAATAAAATAAATGAGGTAATATCTTACATATTATATTAGCAAAAAATTTAAACAATGCACATTATCGCCATATTTGGTAAGAAAAGAGTAAAACTTAATACGTGATTTACATATATTATGAGATAATTTTTTATTTGCATGGTCAGTAGTCAAAGATTTTAGCACTTCATTTTCGGTAATTTTCGACACTTGTTTTTCCAATTTCATAAAACAAGCTCTTTATCTACACAATTCCCTATTGAATATAAGAGATATTGAGGTCTGCGAATTTTTTTTTTCCAAAACCAACTATTATTTCCATGTGTAACGTGACACACATGATACGAATAGGTCTCCTGATAGACCGTAGCCCAGACGAAATTGTGGACTAGAAATTATCAGAAAACCGTCGACCTTATACATGAAAGCAACCTCATAGAAAGCAATGTTTGGTTACCCCCGAATAATAAACATTTATCTAACATCGTGTTCACTTAACAATAATTATCATGTCTATATGCCAATTATAGATTTTGCTAATTTATTTACTCTATAAAATGTTTCATTCATAAGCTATGAAGTTAATATAAATATCAATTAGTTAGAAATAACAACAGTAGCCCATTTATTTCAAAGAGATATCATTATTGTTTATTAGACATCAGAAAATATTAATTATTAAAAAACGAACAAATATTTTGAAGATTTTAATAGATCTTTTGACATGATATAAGACGGATTGCTATTGATTATATGCAGCTGCTATTGATTTTCACCCTTTTAACCCTCACAAAAAAAAATTAAAGGCACTTTAATTATAGTGGCGAAGAAGCAGAAGAAAATATAAGTTCTTAAGGAAATCTGCAGCCATTTTCCTCTATTAATCTATAATTAGAGATATATCAAAAATCACTTTTCAATTTAAAAAACAAATGTTCAAGATAGTAGATGTGGCTTTTTGTTTTTGAAATACTTAATATTTATCCATAGTTGTTCAAACGGTGTGAAAATTTACTCTCTCTCTTTCCTTTTTTCTTTTCTTTTTGCTTTTAAAAACAGAAAAACTATTTATGTAAATGTAACCGAATATCCTCTTAATCACGCAGACGTCGCTATTGACATAACTTGTTCCTATATAGTGAACTTATAAACGCTAAAACAAATGAAATTATTGCGCAAATCTAAGAAATTCAATTTGACAAAGAATGCTCACCTTTGCATGTGGGCCTTTTGATTGATACTAAGTTGGTTGGGCCCGTCTTGAGCCCAAGTCCTTTTGAATATCGATAGGCAGATCGATGATGGGAATTTATTTTTCTCTCCTTTGCTTTTTCCCTATTTTCATAACAAATAAATAAAAAAACCATAAAATTTCTTTAATTAACAGAAAATTCTTGACATATCATGTCTCACTCCGCCGGGCCTCGTTCAATTTTCCAAAAATTGACCCATCCATTGCATTAAAAAAAACCACATTGATTTTCTGTTTACATTGTATTCGTTAAATTGAGACACACTCATTGAAAGTTTTTTTCAATATTAATATGCGAATAACGGAAATTGAACTTACACATGACGGGTACACTACATCCACTTGGCTACATCTACCGAATTTATGACCTAACTCGTAATTTAGATAATGCATATATGTATAATAACTGCCTTATTGTTTTCATTTTTAAGACAATTATGCGAGAATTTCTCATAAATATATACCATAAGGAGTTTTAACAAGGCACCTGTTTAATACATATATGACATAAATCATTCCAGTCAATAATCCATCAGTAACGGGCCGAAGTCCCAGTTCAATATCAGTAGTTTAAAACAGTTCCGACCAAAGTCCCTAAATACATAATCCATGACGGACGAAAGTCCCAATTCATTATGATTGATTCAATATCGATTGTGGAGTGAATTCACGATTCGGCATCATTGTTAGGGAATCCGATCGGATCGAAGCCCCATTTCGGCATCAGTGATTCAATATCAATAATAGGCCAAAGTTTTGATTCAGTATCAATGACGGGTCAAAACACCGGTCTAGTATCAATGTCGGGCTGAAACCCCAGCTTAATATCAATCTATATCGATCCAAGCATATTCTTATCAGTTTAAACAGATAATAATTTCAACAAGATAATTTAGTCATCATTTGAAGGCCAATAGATTGAAATAGGTCTGAGCTATTTATGTCTCTGACTAGAAGTCGCGATCCTCTATCTCTCTCCTTTGGGTCTAAAACCCGAACAAAAATGGACCAGCCAATGGGCTTCTTCAAGAAGGACAGAGCACGTGGCTACTGGCCCGTTTCTTTCTCTTTTATCCTTTCCTTTTTGTTCTTACTCTAAACACCTCTAGGGTCGTATCTAATGGCATGTTTGAATCCTTCTTTGCAAGTTCATATTATTGTCCATAAATACAGGACATTCTCCTTGTGTTCCTTCAATTGTCGGGACGTATTTTCTATGTAACCCTTGTTCCGTGATTTCTCCGTTCTCTCTCACGATGCTATTAAACATTCTAATCCAATTTAATTCTCTGCATCATCTATGATGTGAATTTCTTTCGCTATTAGAAATTAAATCTAGCATGTTAGTGTCGTGTCACTATGTATGAAATTTAGGATGTTACAACTAGTATTGAACCATGAGAAGGAATTGTTGCCAGTCGGACATGGGACAGTATAGGGTTACTGCACTCCGAAACAGTACCCCACGACCATCACCTACATGCAAAACTAAGTAGATATAAAAATGCATTATATCCCTTATTGTAACCCATCAATTTAAAAAGTGGTTGGACGAAAACATACGTCCTTAAATTAAGCTTTTGAAAACTACTTAAAAAAAAAACAAAAGAACTAGGCAATTATTTCATGGTTGGAGAGAGTGAGTGGTGGATGAAAACCATAGAGAATAACATATCAGTATCCCTAACTCTAACTTTTCCTAATTAACATATGAAAGGTCTTTATACATGTACATCTACATATGTGGATACACATTTCTTTGGCTAAGCATTGAACGTGGTTATCAAGAAAGATGCTTGACACGAGGCATATCTCCGTTCCACAACAGGCCAGAGAATGGTAGGTGAACGTGAGCTGGATCTTGAGCTAACTTTGCACACCATATTGAACTAAAACCAACCCTAGGATGAGCAAATATTTTTGTCGTCGCCTTAAGGATGCATGCTTGTTCTTGTTTTCCAAAAGGGAAAAGTTATTCGAGAGCTGAAACAATCGCAATGTGTTCTATTAAATTAGACGGTGACAGCAAACGAGACTTATCAAAGTCTTGTCAGTTCATCAAGAAAACGACACCCTTTTTCTTGTTTTGTCATCTTATGAACGAACACGATTAATCGAAGTTGAGTTACGTGTAGAAAGAGTGCATGAAAACATTCGTGTTTTGATGGGGAAAAAGGAGTGAGGGGGTTAATATCAATACCATAAAAACAATTTTCTAGGACTAATTTTAAAGAGGTGTGAGTTTTTGAATGTTGAAAGGACGATTGATTAACCGTCATTTTGAAATGCGACAATATCATCTTATTACATTAGACCCATTTTGGATAATTGTAAGAGAAAATTTCAATTGGTTGTTCAAATATATTCAAATTAAAATTCAGAAAAAACTAGCTTTCACCTTTTGCACCATATATGAATCCTTGAAAACTCTTCTCTCTTTTTTTCTTGAGTGCATCTCAAGAAATTTTAGGATTTATTGTCTGTGATTTCTTCAAAATTATTTTAGTGATTTTGTCCATCCTAATGCACATTTTTTCAAAAAAAAAAAAGGAAGAGAAATACAAATATTGTAACAAATGAAAAAAGAATTTCTTTAGAAAAGCTAGTATCATAGGTTAATTTCAAAGAAATTATCCAATCAATTTTAAAATTACTATACGAAAATCAATTCAGTCCTAAACTTTCCAATTTTGCCAATTTAACCATAGACTTTTACGCGAAATTCCAATGTAAGTCTCCCGGCCTATTTTTGCCAGAAATTACTGAAATAGCAGTCCAGTAGAATTTCGCACAAAGGTTTAAGACTAAATTGATAAAATTGAAAAGTTTAGAACTAAATTAATATATATACAAAATGTTTAGTACCGATTAGGTAATTTTTCCGGCTAATGTGTTTTAGGGGTGTTTCACTAGCATAATCATTCGTAAGTCCTAGGATCAATCCACATCAGACACGCTACGGATGCGACCCAATCAAGATCAAAAGGCAATTAGGGTTAGTGCACCTACCCTGCTCAATGTCGCGGCGACACGTGGCGTGTCATGATGTAATTCACCATTGACCTTAGGGGGGATTAAATTATTCTAAAGATCACAACTTGACAGTCCACATACTGGAATCTGACATGGAATGTAGTAAGACGTCATTGTAATAAAATCACCCACCCAATCCGATTCCCTCGTGTCTGGTCTAGCAATTGCCTGTCGCGCGATCGAATTTGACAATATCTTGATGCAATTGCAATCGAAACTTGGCAGGAAAACATATAAAGAAAAGGCAGTTTCAGCAACTGATTATCAAGAACACATTATATTTATAGACAATATTCAACCTCAGACGTGAAAATCCACGCTTATTTGAGGACAAATCATGAAAGTTATTACTATATGGTAGTAGGGTCGTCACTTAAATAGCCAAATAATAAAATTTTCGATAAATTTACCAACCTTTCGCATAATTAAAATTTAAATCCTCCTCGTCTCACCTTACCGATCTAATTAGTATAAAAAAATTTCCTTTTTTTTCACATGCAGAGGATCGTAGTTTCAGCTTTCGGTGCATATCCTCGTGGGTGTCACACATATTTTTTTCTAGTTTGGCTAGACACAAAAAGTTCATATAATATATATCTATAAATGGTATGATACGTATTTCAAAAAAATAAATAAATAAAACACCTATGTAAATGGTAAACTTTATATGAAGGTGAACCGAAAAAAAAAAAATTTCCTGGCTTCACGTTTGTCCTCCATTGAAAGCACTGAGGCTTATAATGTATTTTCCTTCTCCTTTTGCTCTCTTCTGAAAATGTACATTATTCATGTACCTGCATGTAATTGCTACCTATCAAGTATAGAGCTATGTAATCTAAAATGGACGTATGCATGAGTCCATCTTGATCCTAAAATAACAAAGAAAATCACGAGAAAAAGGAGATCAGAGCACATCTGACTCCATCCTTTGTTTGCATTTTTCGCCTGAGTATTACTTCCTTTGCTTCTTGGCTAATGACCTATGAGCTCGGCCAGTTCACGCCGGGGAGTTGGAACTGCTGCCGGAAGTCGCCGTCCCCAATCGAACTCACAAGGAACATGTGCGGATGAAAGGGCTCGCCATTTTGCGGAATCTGATGGAGCAGAGAGACGAAGGAGTTGCCGTCGTCCATGCCGTTGGCGCCGCCGTTTCGATCGTCATGGCCGCCCTCGTATCGCTTACCCGAGATCGCTGATCCGTCCTCGCTCCAGAACTGCACCGGCGCAGGGCACCTGCGTCGCGACTCGTCGCTGGCGAACGTGGCTGAGTGGGCAATCGAGACGCCTGGTTTCGCGGTTGAGAAAGGCAACTGATGAGAAGTCGAACTGTTGTGGATGGTTTCCGGCAATATTCCGTCGAAGAAGGCCTCATCGTTATTCCCAGGTAAAAAGGAGCTGTAATTCACGCCTTTTGACGTCGATGGATTCATGTTCGGCGGAGCAAGGTTCTCATTCCCGGGCTCGACCGGCCGGACTGAACTGCTTTTCTTGTAAATCCGGCATAACACCCAGTCATCAAGCTAATGCACAAAACAAGCAAAGTCACACCCAACTTTATCAGTACTACTATATAAAGACGTGCGAAGTTACCAAGATGAGATATATGAAATTTCCTTACGCGTAAAGAGCCTTTTCTGCTTGCCGAATCCGCCTTTGGAGGCTTCGGAGCCGAGTTGCCGTCCATGAAACGGTATTCATGCATGATCCAGTCGGTCTTAGTCCCTTTCGGAGGCTTCCCACAATAGAAAACGAGCGCCTTTTTGACGCCGACCTTGCGGTTACCGATCGAAGCAAATATAGGCTTATCGGTGCCGGTGGCTTTCCAATACCCGGACGTCGCAGCCCGATTCGGCCGCGCTCCATTCGGATATTTCCGATCCCTGGGGCTGAAGAAGTACCACTCTTGCTCCCCAAATATGGCCTTACCTGAAAGTATGGAATTTAAAGGAAAATTCAATCTAGTGCTAAGATGAAGAAGAACATAAGTACGAACCCAGCATGTACTCGTAACTAATTACTTGGCAGCTCCCACGGGTCGAACTTGTAAAGATCGATCTCGGCGATGATCGAAACCGGCAGTGGCTCCAAGGCGACCTTCTTTCCAAGGTAATGAACCACTAATTCCTCATCTGTGGGGTGGAACCGGAAGCCGGGCGGTAGGTGCGGATGCTGCGAATTCGTCGGTGAGTCCGTGCTCGCCATCGGAGATGGAACCGATGATGCTCTCCCAGGAAAATCCGTGTTAGAAAAGTCTTCTACTTCAGATAGAAGACCACCCCGGTGCACAACAATAGGAAGACATTGCAGATAGTTTGTGATGAACTTATGACATATGATCTTGGAAGAGAGAGAGAGAGAGAGAGATGGGCACTGGAGATGGCTTGTTTTAATGAGTTGTGACAAAGAATTAGCTGTGTTTAGGTACTGATCAAAGCTGTGGTTCGCCGACACGTGGCGAGTCGGGAGGGTGGGGGCCACGGGGAGGCATATGGGACCAAAAATGGAGGAAGCACAGGTTTTGTGGGGGTGGGGGAGCTGCGGAGGTTTTGAACTGCCTCGACGCCTTTTTGGTGTCATGCCTTTCTTATGTAATAGGCACATAAAGATAAAATACAGAAAACTAAAGGGAAAAATAAGCCATTGAGTTCAGCAGAATTTTGGGTTTAGAGAAGGTCTCAAGTAGCTTTGACCCTAGGAATTGTTGAACTTGAACAAAAGACTAATGTTCGGCATGAATTGACATGAAGTAGAGCGTAGTGAGGAAATTCGAGGCATTAAGTGCAAAGTTATCTCTAATATTATCAAACGAATATGTGTTGACGTCATGGGATGTGTTGATAGGCCTTTCTAACCTACAAAATCCAATTTCGATCGGAAGTACGATGACACATCGATAGGGTTTTGAGTTTTTCTTTTTAAATTAAAACCACCCCATCTTCAAAACCATCGCCAAATCTTTGACGAACACAAAAGGGAAATAACACGGGTGTTATACAGTGTATGAGTATGTGTGAAAAGAACCACATTTTTGCGGCAAATTTTTATCGTATAGTGTAAAATTTGAATAACATGTAATACAGACTTAGCATAGTAATTTCAAGCATGTATTATGGACCAAGTTACTTCCTTTCCTAAATTCACCAATAAACCAACCATGGCTAAAGAAGAATTTACCAACTGTATCGACTGGTTTTTAACTAAGAAAATACTGGTTTGAATGCAGTTTTTTTTCTTTTTTTTTAAGGGAAGAATGGATTCACTACCATTTAATTTATTGGTTGACTTCACCCTTAAATCTTGCATTTGCATAGGAACCAAACCCTAGTTGTACCGATTTCGTTGCTTCTTATATATATGTGATTACTTTCATTAAAAACAACTAGTAAAAAGGAAAATCAGAAAAGGAAAGAGAAAGAAAACAAAAGAAAGGAGAAGTAAAGAGACTACAACGTTCATAATTCAATGACGGGATCTAGTGCATCTAATGTTAGAATACCCACTCCAAAAGTTAATATGTGACTGGGAGAGAAAGCACACATATAAAAAGCGTATAAGTGATTCAAGTATAAGAGGAACTGGGATTAGGAAACGACCTGCACATGCGACATAAATCGAGACAGAACCTGACTCTTGTAACAAGTTAGAAACTCCAAACACAAATCTTAAACTAATAGGGTAGAAGGACACCACACGCACATACAAAAAGCAAATTCTACATAGACGCGACGCGGGATACTTAACATCTAAACTAACCAACCGCCCAACCCCTCAAGAAATCTCGAGTGAACTTGATTTTGTAAGGCTTAGAAAAACAAAGTAGCAACTGAACTTCTACGTCTTCAAGGAGAAGAAAAGGAAGAGAAGTTCATCTGATTGATTACCTCGGCGTGTTAATTCTGATGCGTACTCGCTTGCTTGGGGATCGAATCCAAGAAGCATCAGGCCATCAAACAAGCAGTCAAAGTCAAAATCGCTTTGCTCCAACACTGTGCGATTGGATCTTCCCGCTTTTTATACTCGGTTTCGCGGTTTGAAAAGTCGGGCATTGCCAGTGGTTATCTTATTGTAATGATTATCTGATATAATTAGCAGTTAAAACATATCCAATCAACTACACGTTGTGAATTTGAATCACCATCACGAAAGAATCAGTTGAAAGCAAGTTTTAAAATTAATTCAATATAGTTTGGTTCGAGATTATAATCTTTTTTGAAAAATTTATGTGAATTTTGAAATGTATTGTGCTTTATGAGACATGCACAAGCGAAAGCATGATAATCAATTGAACAATGAAAATATTTTATGTGATGAACTCTTAATAACTTCAATAATTTTTACTTGCCAGTTATGTGAATGAATACTTTTCCATAACTATTTTCTCGAGGGTGATAGATACATTCAAAATGGGGAAAATTACCAAAGAAGTCCTAAAATTATTGCACTTGTGTCAATTCAGTCCTAATTAATTGTGTCAACTAAGTCCTAAACATTTTCACGTTTTGCCAATTTGAGTCCATATGGAAAATTTGGCCGAAAATTGCTAACATGGACGTCAATCGTCCTACGTGGCACAGTTGACGCAAATGTGAACATTTTTAATAATATTATAATATTTTTTTGAATTTTTTATTTATTTTCTTTTCTTTACTTTTTTTTAAACTTTTGGCCGTTGCCCTCGCAAGCAGGGCGAGGGCTTGCGGCCCTACACCAGATCTGGCCAGGCAAGGGCGTCGCAACCCTCACTGGCCCTAAATCCAAGAAAACAAGAAAAATAAAATAAAATAAAATAAAAGAAGAAAGAAAAAAATTATAAAAAAATTCAAAATATTATTTTAAAAGTCCACATAAGACGACCGGCGTCCACATTAGCGATTTTAGTTTCTCCAATTCCTTATGATTTTCCATTGGTTATCACGTAATTAATCATTAGCCATGAGCTCCTCGATGTCTCATAAATAAATAAAAAATTAAATCAACAAGTCTAAGTCATTAGCTATTCCCTTTTTATCTGTCATTGTGCTTTATTTAATCAAATATGATGTTATACTAGTTAAGCAAACATTTATGAGCTCAGCTCACATAAAAGATGAAAACACACTGGATTTGACACGTTGACCAACTATTAAAGCCTATTCTACCCAGCTTTTTTAGTATGTATATAGGTAGTAATCAACAGATCAATGCAAGTGAATAAAGCTCAGGAAAGATTTCGAGTTTGGCATCTGTCATATCCTCTGTAAATAATCACTTATTGAAGAAAAGACCCTGATCTATTTGTTTGTACATCGACCACTCACAACTCTCAACAAACTAGCTTTCTAAATATAACAAAAAATTGAACCAATACAAGTTCCATAGAATCTAGGGAACATAGAGTCTTACTCGTCAAATTTGAGGGCATATTATCTGTTATTAATATTATTTTACAATTGAGCCATCCAAAGTTGAAGTGTTTAAAACTCTTTCATGTGATCCACACCACAAATTAGTTATCGGGATAAGTGCACCGAAAGTCATTAACCTTATCACAAAAGTACAATTGAGCATTAAAATTTTCAAAGAGTACAATTAAATCATAAAACTTGTCAAATTAGTGCAATCGCGTTCTTCCGTTAACTCCGGCCAACTTGATTAATGGAAAATACTGACGTGGCTTTTCTTTTTTATTATTCTCTCTACTACATATGTGAAATATAAGGCTAAAACGACATCGTTATGGCTGAAATATGATTTTTTAATACAAATTATATTTAAATTATATTAAAAATTAAGCAAAATTTTAAAAAATACAAAAAAAGGAAAAATAAAAGAGGAAGGAAGAAGTAGGCAATGGCTTGTAGCCCTCATTGCCGCCGCAACAGCCCCCCATCGCCGGGCCTTCCCAACGATGGTGGGGGAATGGCTGAGCCCTGGCGACCCCCACCGATCGCAAGCGAGGGCCTGTAGGCCCTCATCCAGATCTGGGTGAGAGTCTCGGCCCTCCCGCAAATTAGGTGAGGGTCGCTTTTGCCTGGGTCTAGCTGAGGGCCACAATTGGCGAGGGTACCTAGCAACCCCCGCCGTCCATTCCTTCCTGGTGATGATGGCGTGGCGGTGGTGCAGCCCTTGCCTGCTTCTTCCTCCTTTTTTTTTATTTTAATTTTGCTTATTTTTAATATAATTTGTATTGAAAAATCATATTTTGACCAAAACGACATCGTTTTGACCATGTCAGCATTACATAGGATAGAGAAAAAAAAAGTCACGTCAGCATTTTCTGTTAGCCAAATTGGACGGAGTTAACGGAAGAATTTGATTGCATTAATTTGACAAGTTTTAGGATTTAATTGCATTTTTGAAAAGTTTTAGGACTCAATTGCACTTTTGTGACAAATTTTAAGACTTTCAATGCGATTATCCCTAAGTTATTCATAAATATGGTTACAATATTATTTGTTCATTCCCTTTCTCTTTGCAGTTATGTAGCTTTTATTTACGGTTTAGATATAAAAAATACACATGTATATATCTTATGTAAAAGAGATGGTAATTATTTTGTCAAGGTCGGATCCTCTTGAAATTTCAAAGATCTTCAATTGAGAGTTTTGAGTGCAGAGACCCTACAGCACTGAGGTGTTTGTTAAACCCCTAATTTTCGCATGCGCAATTACCAATGCTAATCTTCTTTGTATCATTCCAATATTATCGAATGTCTACCAAGAGACTGTTGTCGGTTAAGTTCGTATACCAGAAATTGAAATCAAACGTCAGGAAAACTAACCTGAAAGCAGTACATATAAATAAACAGAATGTTGATCCGAGCCCAACGAGATAACGTCTTGTCCTTAAGACAAATTTGGCCCATCAATCAGTACCCGAGGATATTAGACAATCGTCTCCCAGGATAGAACGGATCTCGTTCCTCTGAAGTGGTACATATTCAGAGGACTCCTTCGAACGCAACTTCGCAGAATAATCGCACAAAATGATAATGATGAAGTGAAAAATGTCTCGCGGGAATATAAATGCCACGAAGTGTCACTATCCGAACTAAACTGTTCGGATATATGTATTTGGCGAAAATGAAGAGTTGCGAGTAATGAAGACTCGCTTGCGGTTCCCGTTCGGTTCGTGAACAGTAGCGAAGGTTCACTTGAACCGGTTTGGTTCGTGAACAGTCGCGAATGCTCACTCGAACCGAAGTGGTTTTCGTTTGGGCGAAGCCAACCTCACGAACAGCCGAACCGAGCCAGCCGGCCGGATGGCGGCGGCGGCGCGCGCGCGGGGGGGACTGACCTAGCTTGGCGTAGGTCCTCTCCCTTCTACAAAAGTGGGGTACCCCTTGGAGCCCAAACCCATTTGAGAGGCTCCTCAAAATAAACCATCTCCCATCACCTCTT